GTTCTAGGTTTGACAGTGAAGAGAATGATCTATTAATTAACGTGTAATGACACGTCAACAATGAAAAGATATTTAACAGATTATAGTGCCATCATGTCACTTAACTGACGGAAAGACCAAAAAGAGGTCGGATTTTAAAATTTAAGGACTAAAAAAGGGGATTTTTTTCAGTATAGGGACCAAAAAGGAGCTTTTTCCAATAGTAGAGGGACCAAGAAAGGTATTTAACCCAACCAATAAAGTGTAGCTTGTGTTTGGCATCAATAGAGCCCCATAAGAAATTGTTAGAGATTCTATCAATTTCCTTATGAATTGAGGAAGGGAGCCACATCACTTGCATATAAAAGTTTGGGATGGAAGCAAGGACAGATGAAATGAGAGTAAGTCTACTAGCCATAGAGAAAAATTTTGTTTTCCATCTAGAAAGTTTTGAGTGGATTTTTCCAAGATAAGCTGTTAGTCTTGGAAATTCTCTTGGGAGAAATGGGGATACCAAGATATTTACCAATATCATCAGTTTGCTGGCAACCAAGATCTTGGAAAATATTAAGACAGGTATTCTGGTCAATATTCTTAGAAAAGAGAATTCTAGACTTGGAAGTGTTAACTAGTTGACCAAATCGAGAGCAAAAGAAATCCAAAGTGTCCTTGAGATATTAACAGTTAGATTGAGAGGCCTTACCAACAAAAATCAAATCATCAACAAAGAAAATGTGAGATAAAGTAGGACTTTTTTTACTTGCCTTGAAACCCTTCCATCTTCCAACAACCATATCAATAGAAATTTTGATAGACAAATATTCCATGCACAAAATAAATAAATAAGGAAAAATAGGATCCCTTTTTTGAATGCCTTGAGAAGGGAGGAAACTATCAATTCTTTCTCCATTAACAAGAATAGAGATAAAAGATGAGGAGATACAGCTCAAGATTAGTGAAATAAACTTAGCAAGAAATTTAAAGAACATAAGAGCTTCCTTGATAAAGCTCCATTTGAGTCTATCATACGCTTTCTCCAAGTCCAACTTCACAATCATATCACCATCCCTTTTTTTCGTTTTAGAAAAAGAGTACAAAAGCTCTTGCAAGATCAGCACATTATTTATACCTTTTCTCCTAGGGGCAAAACTCGATTGGCAAGGTGAAACAATAGAGTCTAAGACAGGTTTCATTCTATTAACAAGAATTTTAGAAATGATTTTATAAATGGTGTTACACAAGCTAATAGGACGAAACTGTTGAATAGTCTCAGGACTTTTTGTTTTCAAAATAAGGGTAACTAAGCACTCCTTCCACTTAATAGGAATAGTAGCAGAAGTGAAGATGTGTCTGATATCAAAGCAAAGGGTATTTTTGACAGATTCCCACATCTTTTGAAAGAATCCAGAATAAAGACCATCAGGACCTGGTGCCTTAAAAGGTTTTAATCCAAACAAGGCATCATGAATTTCCATGTCATTTGGGATAGCATCCAGCATAGATAACTCTCTAAAAGCCATACTAGACACACCAAGATTAGAGTTAATCATGGTAAGAGCAAAGCAAGGACGAAGTAAATAGATTCTTAAAATGGTCCTTAATGAGGTTGGTGATAACCCCCTGATCATTAACCCATTCATCAGTAGAAACTTTAAGGCAATGGATTTGATTATGGCTACAATGGTGGATAGTAGAGATGGAAAAACTTTGAGTTACGATCTCCATTCACCATCCAATTAGTCCTGGACTTCATAAACCATAGATCTTCCTCAAGCTTAAGAATTCTTTCATATTCCCAGGTGAGGTCCTTTTCTAAGGTTGTAAGAAAGGCAGAAGGTTTAAGGGAAAGGGATCGATGGATACTAGTGAGATGAGCATCAAGCTCCTTTTTTTTTTTTTTTTCAAAAATATTGTCAAATGTTTTTCTACTCCAGGCTTGGATAGAAGACTGAGCATTTTTTATGCAACGAGCAGTACAAAAGCTAAGATTAGACCAAATAGGAGATATCAAGTCTTGAAATTGTGGATGCTCTAACCATAATTATCAAACTGGAAGAGCGGAATATGATCAGAACTAACACGAGGCAAATGGGACAAAATAACATTGGGAATTGGAGAAGCCAATCAAGATTGGCCCATACCTTGTCAATCCGCTCTCTAATGATTTGATTGTTCTCCCTCATATTAACTCAAGTGAATATCCCCCTAGAGTAATCAATATCCATGAGATTATAATCACTTATGCAACCAGTATAAGCTTGGACTCGATACTGGTTAACAAGGGCTTCAACAAATTTCTTAATTTGATCAACAACATCATTAAAGTCCCCAATAACCAATCATGGGCCACTAAAATGTTTAGCATCCTCTCTTAGCTCATTCCATAATTGTAAGTAGATATCGAATTGGGGCCTACCACACACACTAGAAAGAAACCAATGAAATTTAGAGAATATGGAGTGAGAGCATACCTTCACGATAGCATGAATGGCCTGATATGTAGAAGTCACCACATTGATGTAGACATCCTCATCATTCCATAATAGCCAAAGACCTTCAGCTCTTCCTTCGGAATCAACCACATTACAATAGGAAAAACCACACTTAATGGCTACCTCCCTCGCAACCAAACCAGCTAGCTTTGCTTCCAAGATAAGCATGATAAATGGAGAGTGCTGCCTCTTTAAATCCATAACTCTTCTTTGAAATTCCATTTTAGCCGCCCCACAGCAATTCCAAGATAACATCTTCATTTACCAATTAACAGTATTTGAGAAATCCAAGACCATATTAGCTAGAGTCTAATCAAACAATGGTTCCTATGTTTCGTTGTGCAACAGCATCATGAACACATCCAAAAAGTGGTATGCAAACATCAAGCATTCGTAGTCCAGCACCTTGATCTTGAGCGAGATTGAGGTCTTGACAATAACATGGATCTTCTCCATTTTGCCCATCATTACGAAAACTTGAAGATGCTCCTCCCATGCTTGAGTTGTGAACTTCAAGGGTTGAGTAAAGGCCAGTTTCCCTTTTATGTCTACTCTTTCAAAAATGGATCCTAGTTTTTGCATGTTGCATAGATCTGTCAAAACTAAGGGATCCACCATTGAAGCTGGCACTAAGCTTAGAAAATGAGCTGGATTGATAGACTTTAAGGTCAACAGAGTCTGCACCATGCTTGAAATATCACTTCCTCCTTCCATTGTGGATGTGTCTTCTTTCCCCATGATAATATCATATCTAAGGCTTGCTCTAGCATAATGACATTTTCATTGTGAAATAGAAGGATCTAAAGGTTTGGACTGAATTGAAAGAAGGTTGTTGTCTCCTGAAGTTTTTCCATGCTTAAATCTCTAAAAGGGATTTGAGAGTCTTAGACATAATGGGATTTTGCTTAGCAGAACCAGAGCCTCTTTCTAGATTTTTAATTTTATCCTTAACAGTAAGTAAAGAATCTTCTAGGCTGGTGGAATTTTGATTAGTAGGCTCCAAAGGTCCATTCAGAAAATTACCCGGGCCTACAGTTGAGGAAGGCAACTTTACTGGGTTGTTATTTAGGCCTAAATCCTCATTTTGGGCTGTACATGGTTCCATAACCTACTTTCCTTTGGCTACATTGGAATTGGTTGGATCCTCCATCAATCCACCGTCTAGTTGGATTTGAGCAAGCTTATCAATGATCACTCTTAAATCTATTGATTTAATAGGCTTGAAGATGGTTTTCACATTGGCCAAAGCCTCTATTTGCACCCTCCATTTATTTTTTTCTACGGTTAACACCTTCTAAAATTTTTCCTCCTTACTAGCACCCTCTATTTTCTCAAACCCGTGAAAAACCCAATATTTTAATGGGTCATCACGTAACCGTTAATAACCGTTAAAAAATGTAATACGTGGCACCCAAAAATTGACTTGGACATTATTTGACGTTATCTATCCAATTTGGCATAATTGTCTGCACAAGTGTATTACGTGGCACCCTTTTGATGATTTGGCATAATTTTTTGCACACGTGGACGTCACATGTGTAGTGGGCCCCACTTCTAGAGGGACTTTTCTTGCTTTTCCCTACATCCCCACCAAAAAAAAAAAAAAACCTAAAACAAAGAGCATTTAAAATAGATCTACAGCAGTGGATGCCATGTTGATATTATTTGGTGTTATTAATCCAATGTGGACATTTTTTAGATGATGTGGCATAATTTTCTTTTCTTTTCTTTTTTTTTTTTGTAAAAATGTGGCATAATTTCGTGCACACGTGGATGCCACGTGTGCAATGAGGACCACTGTTCTTCTTCCCCAATCTTAAAAACCTAGTTCTTCTTCTTCTTTTAGAGAAATCTTTCTCGGGTACAAAAGAATTAGGATTGTAGCTGATAAAACCATGGCGTGTGTGATTAGGTCGAGAAAAACATGGAGTAAGGTAGAAGATGAGATAAGTTATGAGCAAGAAAACAAGCTGGCAAGTTTCACGATCCCTTCACCATCCATTTCACGAATTCTCTCTGGATAACCCAGATCTGGGTCCATTTGCCCCCCACCATCCATTTCACGATCCAAGAAGACCCCAAACAAGTTTCAAGGTGATGAATGCTCACTATAACCTGGATCTGGGTCTGTTTCTCCTCAATCTTGCCTACTACACGATTGCGATGGCTCCTTTCCTCAAAACCTCTTAATCGCCTCTACCGATTGCTCCATCTCCATCTTTTATAACACAGTGATCTCATTGGAAGCAGTAGGAGCTTCCAACACTTTCCTAGCCTTAAGAAGCTTCTTAGCATTCTCAGCATCGGTGTAGCTCTACTCCGTGAGTTTGTCCTCCATGATGACAAGCTTGAGCTTGATCTGACGCTTACAATCATGCTCAAGGATGTCCTTGTTGGGTTTCTTGGTGAGGTCGACAAATCCAATTCCATTGTACATTTGTTAAGGATTCGAGAAATCCTAGATCTGGAAACTGGGTTTTTGAGATTAGGGATGAAGTTCCTTGTTTTAGGATTTTTTTTTTTTT